TGCGGAAGCCCGGTGGGTCGTCATCGTCGTCCTCGTTTGCAGGGTCCTTCCCAGCGCTATGATGTGGTGGTGTACGCACTGCGGAAGTGACACATGTCACTGGCTGAGAAGAGTCAGCTGGTGTCCTCAAAGAGCCAGAAGACGTGCCACCTGACCGCGCCAGGACTGCCGGTTCCACCCAAGGAGTGTCCATGTAGCTCAGCTTCTAAGTTAGCTTCCTGCAGCTCCGCTTCACCTTCTACATAAATAGACGTTAAAGTGAGTGTATTTTCCAAACGCATATACACTAAAGAAATATTTTTGGAACGGACAAGTTTATGTTTACCTCCACAAAAGTCTCGAGAACGCCTGGCCCCTACCATCTTGACTCGTGAAGCCGAAACGCTGTTTCGTTGGACATCCTTGACAATTGTGTCGCCTGGGTACAGAAACGTGGTTGGACAGTTTTAGTACACATACTTAATACCAAATGGATAACAAATTGTACCATTCGAGTATCTTACCATATATCTTTAAAGCGGGGCTCTCTGTAGTTGTGTGTCGTCCCTAGTGACAACGTCGTACACATCTTTGATCACACCTTCCTCTGAGTCCTTGTCAATCGCCTCCTCAGTATATGGAGGCTTGATATGTGTCCTCGTAGACCTGTGAAACCACCGCAGGTACTCGTCGAAGGTGTGCTGGTCGTGTGGGGAACCCGCATGGACTGGCTGCCGGTCCCTATTCTACGACAACTAGATGTACGTGTTGTGTGTTACGCGCCAATCCTTGGTCTTGTACCTCTTCATGCAGTCATACCTACAACAAAACGATTGTTAATTGTACCACACATATCTCTGAATTGTAGCTTTGTTATTAATCAATAACGCACCCGTACAATTCTTGGTTGGTGGAGTAAAGCGATGGTGGGTAGCCTGTCATTCTTCTAAACTGCCTGCAAACCCTGATGGGCAAGTGAATCTCGACCACGTGGAAAAAAATAAGAGGGACGTTGCAGCGATACTCGTCTGACTCATCCCTAGTGATAGGACTCAGATAGTACTCGAGCTCCGAAGTATCCCAAGGACACCAATGTACCTAAACATTTCGTAATTGAGTTATGTTGTGATATAGTGTATATCGAACAAGACACATGTATGATAGTAAAGAGAGCGTAACCTGGTGCTGTGTCAGGACGTCGAGACCGTCCATGTACTGCATGTACTTGCACCTCGCATTCCCTCTAACTAACTCTGCTTGCGTCCAGATATACAGAGCTATAGGGAGTGTATCATGCCCGTTCTATTGCTGCATTGAACATGATAATGAATAGCCATTAATAATTTTATCATATGTAACTGCCTTGAATAATATAGTGAACCGAAGTACTTACCGATAAACTAGTAGCAAGGGGCCTCCAACGGGCCATCATTCCCAACACCAAACCTGGAGTAGGTAGTAGCAATCCCCCAAGGTTCGTATATCCTGAGGTGCGACGGCAGGCAACGCATAGCTGTCGATACGTCCATGCCAGGACTGCGCTGCCCTAGCTGTGCATATCTATGTTCTCCCACGGTGGCATAGTATGTCAAGAAAGATCCAGCTGATAATGTTGCCCGAGGCATCTAGGAATAGGAAAACACCAAGGAAGTGCTAGAGCACACTCTAGCGAACTTGTCGATCTGAGCCTCATCAGCCTGTGGATCCAAGTAATCAAAGCACTCTGTGATCCAGGACGACGAAACACCGAAATTTTTCCTAAAATTCACCAAAGAAAATGAGACCCGATGGCCGCAGGAAAGCAACACAAGTATTAAATAGGATTGAATTGCTCACTTATTTTTCTTGAAAACCTCGTCGTCCGGTAGAAGAAAGCTAGTGAACTGAGCCACCAGCTCCCTTCAGTGATCGTTGTCAACTATACCTGTCACTGGAAGTCCCCCCAACCGAAGACCAAAGATAGCCTTCACGTCCTGCATGGTCAAGGTCATCTCGCCATAAGATAGGTGGAACGTGTGGGTCTCAGACCTCCACCTGTTATAAGAATAGAACGATCGTTAGTTGCCTTAAATTTGTTATAAGAATGTTTACGTACAAAGAAGGCACTCGCACCTATCTATAGTTACAATAAGTAGTGCTGGGTTAAGGGGTGAAAGACCGTAGTTGACAACACGGACAAGCTCGAGAAAGCCGGCACGCCGTATGTATGACGCGTAACGCTCGTCCCACTGGTGCGCCCTGGTGTGCATGCGGGGTCTCAAAGAAGGCAAGGCCACCTCTGCGTCGGTGTCACTCAAGATGTGTGCTCGGTGCTGATCGTCGTACTCCACCTCAAGAAGGGGATACAATGTGTGCTGCGTGGGAGAGACAATCCTGTTATAAATTGATAAACAAAGGGTTAGAGTATTTAAATTAACAATATTCAAATTAACATTATGTAGCATTGCAAAATTTGAACTACTTGTTATATAATACGAACACAATATGAAAGCACATGTATATATTCAAAGTAATATTAACAGACGTATTAAACAACTTCACTAGAAAAATAAGTATTTGACGAAACTTCATCAAATTATCTAAATCGCCGTATCACGCACTACTAAGTACCGACACTTGAAAACTAGTATCTATACTGACAACCTTTACTACTATAAACTAACTAAATAATAAATACCTAATCAATCCCTAAATCCAAAATCCTAACAGTAACCAAAATCCTAACTACCTAACCAAACCTTAACTATACTACAACACAATCTAAACCCTAAAAACTACTTACCTAAATAAACAAATTCACTAATCTAACTACTCTAAATCACTAACCCTAACTAAAATAACAATCATAATAACATGAAATCGAGAGAGAAGCTATCTTGATATGATGGCTGGCGGCGGCGGGCGTGATGACGTGACGCCGTGGCGGTGCGTGTGGCGGCTGGGTATGGCGGCGGCGGCGGCGGCTGGAAGGGCTAAGCGGCAGTGGGCAAGCGTGGCGGAGGCAGTGAGGAGGAGGGTTCATGGACGATATTTACATGAGACTGCCGCGCCATTAGGGATGATGCGGCACTGCCACGCCAAGATCGGTGGCGCGACAGACACTGCCACATCACCGGTCAGCAGCCCCGGTCGTCACCACGTCATCCTCCTGCCACGCCACCATGCATGGCGCGGCACAGGCGTTTCACCGCGCCATGACAATAGGCGCGACAAAAAATGTTAGTTTTGAAAAAAAATAAACAGTGTTAAATTTAAAATTAGCTTAAAAAAGTGTTAAAATTAAAAAAAAATCAACTCGGCAGGGTGAAGCGTAGCCTGGTGTCGGCTTGAACTCGGCAGGGTCCTCTGCACCGCCAGACGTTCACAATCAGCACGTCTTGTATTTTGTGGTGGTGTTCGTAGCGATGTATTATGAGCCGGGATGGAGCTTGCGTGGACGAGCGTAGCCTGGTGCCGGCTTGAACTCGGCAGGGTCGAGCGTAGCCTGGTGCCTGCACCGCCAGACGTTCACAATCAGCACGTCTTGTATTGTGTTTTCACGTCTTTTGCTCTGTAATTTTTCTCCCGATGTTTCTTTTAAATATATATAAATAGGGAGCGTGGAGATCGGTACTCGTATCTCTGAGTCGACGGATTTTCGGATTTATTGTTGAGGCCGCCTAGAGATCGGTACTCGTTTTTTTTTTGTGAAGTGGATCAATACTCGTTTTGTATCGACTCAGATTTTTGAATTTATTGTCAAGGCATGCGCACGAGCGTATCAGTCGGAGTTCCCGTGCGCAGGCAACGGAGCGCGAGTGTGTATGCAGCCGTTCAAATAGCAGTCTAGAAACAATTTTATTGGCTTATCAAAGAAAGAGATTAAATAGCTAACGACCTATAAATAGCTAGTCTAGCATAATTTTTAGAAAAAACTCTCTCACAGCTCACATAACCCTACACTATTATGTTATTTTTTTTTATTTCTAAGTTCCATCTAACTAGCTATTTACAATTTGTCATTGAGACTGTCCTCAGAGTCAGAGATGGCGTGCCCAGGCTGCAGCGGCACAAGGAAGCAGGGGTGCGCGTCAAAATTGAACCTAGGTGATGCATCTAGTAGGTGTTTGCCCTATTTACTTGGTGATAAGGCATGACTGAAAGTATTATTGACTAATTTATTGTGAGAGAAAAATATTATTTGTTGGCTAAAAAAGTATAGCTTTATAAGCCAAGCGAACATAACGAATGGTCGGTGATAGAGCCCAGCAAGAGTGATGTGCTGTGCTACGGTGGTAAAGCCCAGCAAGGCAACAAGTTATTTTAACACGGTTTGTTGTATATAAATTAGAGTAGAGTGCATAGAGGAAAGACAAAAAAAAAAGGTTTTCAGGCTTAGAGTGTGTTTGGAGTCATCCGTCTAAACTTTAAAGCTAACTTTAGAACATTTTAGCTTATTTTTAAAATCTAAAACTCTAATACAAGATAGGTTAAAGTTTAGAGGTTTAGCTTATTTTTTAAAATCTAGCTTAAACAATAAATAATATTTTTCTCACACTAAGATAACCAACAATAAAGTTTATAAGACAAACAAGCCCAGCTCAAACCTTTATTCGAGTAGTTCGCCCACAGTGGCGGAGCCAGGATTCCAAACTTTGGTATTCCTACTTCCATGTTAATAAAAAAATAAGTTGTTTTTAACTGCAATGAGTGAAAATACTACAAAATATGAGCTAATTTGAGAGGCTGTTTTTTTTTTACTGTTTTAGGCTTCAATGAGTGAAAATACTATAAAATATGATATTATACATATACATATATAAGTATATACACATATACACATAGAAGTGTGCTAAAATAGTTGGGTATTCCTCTTTATCCGCCTCTGCCGGCAACCGTTCTGTGGAATTCGTTTCCCAGGTCCAGCCGTGCGTAACACAAACCTTGACTGAGAGTTGAGAGTGAGGTGCCGTTCGCGGCCTCGCCGCTATCCGCTCTGACTCCTGAACGTAACACAAGCCAGAGGGTTTCACGCGAGCTCGATGGCGGCGACCACGGCCGCGGCTGTGCGTCGGCTCTGCGCGGCCGCCGAGGCGCGGTCTGCTCTGGCGGTGCTCGCCCGCGGGACGAAGTCCGGCGACGCGGCGCTGGACGTGGCCGCGTGCACCGCGCTGGTCCACGGCTGCTGCCAGAGCGGCGACGTTGCGGAGGCACGCAGAGTGTTCGACGTAATGCCGCGCTTGGGCGTGGCCCCTAACGAGGTAACGTACACAGCGTTGATTCACGGCTACTTCGTTTGCGGGCACAGAGAGATGGGTTTCGCCTTGTTTGAGGAGATGAGGAGAGGCGGAGTCGAGCCGAACCTCTACACCTACAACTGCTTGATCGGGGAATGGTGCAGGACAGGAGAGTTCAAGAGTGCCCGACTGCTATTCGATGAAATGCCTGTGAAAGGTGTCGATTGCAGGCCTATGCAGGCACGGCAAGCTGAAAGATGCCGCCCAGCTGTTTGAAGCGATGAGAAGGGAGGGTATCCGTCCAAGCATGGTGACGTTCAATCTTCTAATTGATGGCTATGGCAAGGCTGGGAAGATGTCTAATGCCTTACATTTCTTCAATCAGATGAAGGCGGCAGGGCTGCAACCTAGTGTGGTGACGTACAATGAGCTTATTGGTGGATTCTGTTGTGTTAGAGATATAGCCCGGGCAACATGAAGGAGTGCGGTTTGGCACCCACAAAAGTGACGTACACCATACTCATTGGTGCATTTGCTAAGGAAAATGAAATGGACAGGGCATTCGAGATGCTTTCAGAGATGGAGAAGGCTGGGTTGGAAGTGGATGTGCAGAGTTATGGTGTTCTCCTGCATGCGCTCTGCATGGAAGGGAAGATGATGCATGCCAGGAAACTGTTTCAATCAATGGATTCGAAAGGTGTCAAACCGAATAGTGTGTTATATGACATGATGATCTACGGATATGGGTGGGAAGGGAGCTCATATAAGGCTTTGAGATTGATCATGGAAATGAGGAAGAGTGGATTGATTCCGAATGTTGCTAGCTATTGCCTAACGATCCGCCTTCTCTGCAATGAAGGGAAGTGCCAGGAAGCTGAGGCTTTGATTGGTGATATGGAGCATGCTGGTTTGCAAACAAGTGAATCCATCTGCAGAGTACTATTCGATGCTAAGGCAAGATTGCATAGTTCTACTGATGACCCTTTTACTTACAGTAGCCAGGCACATTGTTTCTGTTATCTGCCAGGGAATAGGTTACTATAGTTATCTTGTGGAAGTGGCAAAGTGGTAGGGAAAGAAAGACTGATAGAGAGGGAAAAGATCTACTGAATCCTGTCCTGTACCAACATTTTGGTGTTTAATTGAACTTACCCTCACAATGAGTGTGGTTGGTTGGTCCCTATTTGCACAGCAGTGAAAGATGAAAATCTATGTGCTGAGACATTTTCCTGCCAAGTGTATCCATCTGCAAACAAGCGAATGGATGCAAAGGCGAGAGTGGTATGCAAACAAGTGAATTCATCTGCAGAGAGTATTATTGGATGAGGCAAGACTGGGTGATTCTGCCAATGAACCTTTTACTTAAAGTAGTCTGGCTGTGCTTTTGTTATCTGATAAGTCATATGTTGCTATATCTGTCATGGGTTCATGACAGTGGGAAGATGATATGCAAAGCACTGCTACATAGGGAAGGTCTGCTGCAATATATCTTGTAGAAACATTTCGGTGGATTACTGTAGTTTTCCTTTGCAATAGGCTAGAGTGGATGGATCCTATTTGCACAGAGGTGAAAGATGAAGACCCCACGTGCTGAGACAATTTCTTGCCAGACAAATGTCAGTACATTTTCTTTTCCAAAGTCAATTTTATTCAAGTACCATCAATTAATTTGTTCTGGATGTACCGAGTTTGTCAAGTCTGATTTTTCCCTTGTTAATAGAAGGTCAAACAGGCACGCTCAATTACTTCCTGCTGAACTCAAATGATTGGTTGCCTACCTACCATCTCTGTCATCTGCCATTTTGTCCAGACTCCAGAGTCCAGACAACAGAAAATGCAACTATTCCTGTTTATACAGTATTTCACCTTAACCTATCCATATGATTTTGATTAGAATAGCCTTTTAGATTGCTGTCTTTGTGAGCAAACAGGTATATCAAATCAAATTATAGAGCAAAGGCATATCTAGCAGAATATTGTTTTTTTTTTACAAAGTAGCATAATATTGTTGAGCTAGTTCTTGAACATTAATGTTACTTAAAGCCACATGTAACATGAGGTTGGATTTAGCCTGTGACAAGCTAAACGCCTGAACCTGGCAATGATTTGTTCTATAGGTCTGCAGTTGTCAGTTGCTGAGGGGCTCTTTGCTTTGCACCCAAGCAGAGCTGCCTGGCGTGAGCGCTGCTCCGAGACGTGGCTGCTCGTCTGGGAGACTGCGACTTCGCCAAGCCTGTCAACTGTCATTCTGCATTTGCTGCACCTGTGCCGTAGTGCTATACGTGCGATTTTGGTTGTACGTGGTTTATATTGAGAAAAAGTGTTGTATTTTTTTTTTTTTTGCGTTCTTAAGCCAGATTGATGTGCTTTTCTGATAAAATGGGGGCTTGGTTTTGTTTGGAGCTTGTTTCTGAAAGTGTATAATAAGCCAACGATGCAAGTTATGGGACACCGGTTGCTGAATGAATTTGAGCTTTTTCGGAGCTGCAACTAATAATCATCTGTCGTCAATATTTGCAATCAAATCGTGAATCTTGAGTTTCCTTTTCAAGTTTTGATATGTACCGATTCACCAAATGTAATGTTCTCTTACAGATGTTGAGTTTAATAACTATTGTATAATTATGTACTCCTCACTCCTCAGTCCCAATAACTGCACATCTTGTTTTCTAAGAAATCGTCTTTTTACATTTAATCAGATTTATAAAAGTATTATCAACATTTATATCTATCAATATGTATATTACAAAAGTTTAGATACTTATTACACATTACAGATATTACTGTATATTTATACATATTTGATCAAAATAAAAAAAGTGAATATTCAAATGTGAGATGTGAAGTTATTTGAGGCCAGGGGAGTATACAAATTTAAGGATAGGCATTCTATATTATACTTTTTTTTTTGGTTCAAATCGTATATGCCATAACAACACACAGCTAATAGTGCGTTTTAAGACGTTGATCATTGCAAAAGGGCCTGTAGCGTAGTGGTTATAAGAGCCTCAGTAGCACCTCAAGTCCTGAGGTTTGACTCCCCGCGTGACTTTATCAATGTCGAGGATTTGCTGGCCCAGACTGTGAAGATACTCATAGGGGTAGGGCTTGCGTGCGTGCATTCATATTGGTGAGGCTGTGTATGGATCCAGGGGCTAAAGTTTAATCGTGTCACATCGGACATTCGGATGCTAACTAGAAGGACTAAACATGAGCTAATTATAAAATATAAAACTAATTGCACATGAGTAGACTAATAAGCGAGACGAATATATTAAACCTAATTAACCCATAATTAGCAAATATTTACTGTAGAACCATATTGTCAAATCATGGACTAATTAGACTTAATAGATTCGTCTCATAAATTAGCCTCAACCTGTGTAATTAGTTTTTGTAATTAGCCTATGTTTAATACTCCTAATTGGTATCAAAGATTCGATATGATAGGGCTAAACTTTTGCCCAAAAAAACAAACACAGCCTGAGTGTGCGTGTGTTGCGTTTATAGGGGTGAGTGTGCATGTATTGTGGATGTCTGGGTTGTATTGTGTTGTATTGTGTAAAGAAGATATCATTTTGTGAGGCTGAAAAGTTCTGGTACACGATTAATACATTGTGGAAGATTTATATTAGTTTTTTAGCATTTTAAAGATATCAAATTAAAAACTCAAAACTATAATTTTCATATAGAAATCATCTTCATCCTATGTTGAGGAAAAGGTACCATTTTTTTTAATGTAGAGCCTTGCCACGTCAGTCTGAGTGGTGTGGCTAAACTATGTGTTTTTTACGTGGAAATTGATGTCGAGCAAAGCATGACAGATTTTACTGCGCTAACCCATGTGACGCTGTAACGTGATTTTGCCACGATAGACACGTTGGACCAAAATTGTTATAAAAATAAAAAAAAAGCGGATGAGGTTATCTTTAAAAAAGATTTAGAAACCATTAAAAAATAAAAAAGATCACAGGTGTAAATGTGTAATACCCTAACTGAGATTGAGATCGAACGGCGGTTGGATGCGGTGGGCGGGTCCAAGTTCGGTCCGCCGCACCAGCGCACAAGACGGCGAGACGTTAGGGGTTCAAACTCCTGGCCCGCAACGGTAACCGCGCGGCGTTACCCTTACCAAACACAACAACAGCGGCCTTTCATGATCCAGGTTGGCACGGCAACCGACGCCGCCGTCAGGCCCTCCGTCACAAGGCCGTGGCGTCCGTCGTACGTTTCGTTCCGTCTCCGAGTCGCATTGCCCCTGTTTCTGTATCACACCCCTTAACTTTAGCAAATCACAAAAAGACAGTGCAAATAGATGTCTCAACCTGGCGTCCATTTACATAACTTTAGACATGCAGTTATATGATGTTCGCACGTTTTAAATCCTCCTGATCCTCTTGAACAAAGATGAAAGCGACTCTCATGTTTTTTTGTAACCACAGTTATGACATTTTAAGGGTATCTCTTGATATGATTAGCTAGGTGGCTAATAACTAATTAAAAACTTATTTAAGAAATTAGTCTATTTATTAGTTCTAATTTTTTTAAATTATAGGTCATTTTGAGGTTGTCTTACGTAAAATAAACTTTCACAAATAACTTCTTTTGGGTTGAGCACTCAATATAAAAGTGATGTAAGTGATTCATCTCGAAATGTAGTTTCATAAAAGTATATATTGACTATATTTTATAAATATTTTATAGCAAAAAATTACAGTCAAAGTCTTTTCTTAAAGACCGAGTCAATGTCCAAAACGATTTGTTTTAGAGAACCGGAGGGAGTACCACATAAATGCTCACAACGCATGCGCACTCAATATATGAAGGTATGCATATGAGCCCTACCTATATGAGCTTATTCGAAGACTAAGCCAGCAAATTCTCGAGATTGACGAAGTCATCAAAGACGTTTCACTGTTGATGGAAACATCGCCTATCACTGAATGCACAATACCATTAAATTTTGACTATTATTTAGATATACTAGAGTTAATTTAGACTAATTTTTATATAGCTAACGATTAGCGCAAGTGTCGCAGAGGTCCTATGTTCCGATAAAAAAAAAAGGTCCTATGTCTTTTTTAACGGAAAACGGTCCTAAGCTGGACATGCATATTTGCCCGTTTCTTTTGCCGAAGTATAGGGTTCGGAATAACGTTATACTTCAGGGTCCGATTAGTAAAATAAGGCGGCCATAATTTATTCTTCTGTTCTTCCTCTTCGGCTCTTCCCCTGACCTTCAACGGGCGAGGTTTTTTGAAAGCATCCTCTCGCGTCTCCCCCTTCAACTCCCCCGACACCCAACCGAAGCCGTAGAGAGGGGCAGCGAAAGCTTACTCTTTTATACCTTCCTACTAGGGTTTCGGGACTATCCTCCCTCGCTTCGCGCCATCTCCCGCGGTCCCGCCTCCTTCACCGCCTATCGATTCGCCGCCCGGGGCCCCAATTCTATAACCCGGCTGTTCGATCTGGGACCCGCTAGATTCGTAAGGCGGCGTTTCGTTCGATCTGTTTTGGGGAGTGATTGCCGTGGGGGGATTTGATCTGAAGTTCGTTTTTTTTTTGTGGTGATTTTGCGGTTTTAGGTCGGGGCGGTGATGAGGAGGTGATGGGGGCGATGGCGGAGGTGGTGCAGGAGGGGTGCGTGGAGAATCGGCAGCCCCTGGCGGCTTCGAGCTCGTCCGTGTCGGATGGCAGCAGCTGTGGCGGCGGAGGGCGGGCGGGGACGTCGCCGCCGGTGTCAAGCTCTGGGAATTCCATCTCCGTTCTGAGGTGAGGCCTTTGCCCGTATCTGCTCCTATCCGGGGAGGGATCTGGGCTCTTAACCGTTGAATAGTACCGTTTGTTTTACCTTGTTTGGATCCTTACTCGTGTTGTGCCCTAGAGTGGTGGGTGTTCTGGGTGAGAAGAATGAACCTTTTAAGCATTGCACGGTGGTTGTGTGGTTCTCTCGTTGGTAATTTGCCTGGTTTGTGATGTGATTAGAGTTTCCCTGGTACTTTCGAGAAATTTTCGCTGCTAGGAATGCTGTCTTACTGGAGCTC